TCTGTAGCAGACAGTTGCACATTACTATTCATTATCCGAATGAATCATGGTTTATATTGTTTCAGTACTCAATGTACTGACTGACGTTGAGAGCTATAATATAATAAATACGTTTTCTTGTGATATCCTAATGAATAAAAAAAACTGTATATCTGATATTTTGTTACTTACATTAATTCATAACACGTTAGAAATACAGTTTTCTATTCGTTGAGACATTACGGAGAAAAATATTTATTACTAGTTTGAAAGTTAACTTTAATATAATAAGGTAATAAACATTTGTTTTTGAATTTTTATTTTAAAGTTAGTGCACTTCAAAGGTCTTCGCGTTCTAAACGGATTTCTCTGTATGATGTAGAAAAAGGTAAGAATTATAATCAATATATCTACTTCTATTGAAGTATTATCTCAGAAATTAGCTTAATACGATTTACTATATTATTTATAAACAAAACGGTTAAGTATAGAGATTCTGATTAAAGGTATTATTATTGGCAAAATATATGTTCATCAACAGTTCACTAATTATAATCAGAGAAGGGTTTTTGTGGATATTATGGTAATTTCAATAGTTGAGATCATGAGTCAATTGAAGTTAGACCACCTTGGAAAACCTGGAAGCATTGGACGACCGTTTCGTCCTGGATTCGGACCCAGAACCTATTAGTTCACTAATTAAGAAATGGTTTTCTTCATGTGATAGCCATTTGAAATGAGAATGACTTTTAGACAAGATTTACGATTTCAGTATTTTGCATTTCTAAAAAAATATTCATACCGATTTTAAGTAATGGATAACAATGTTGAAAATGATATTAAATACAATAATTTATTATGATTGTCCTGTGTAAGACTAAGATATGTCTGATTACGACACAATTATCAGTTTCCTCTCTTCATTGATGACATAATACAATTGATAGTAATTATAAATAGATTAGAAAATATACTTAAACTACTTTTGTGTACGCTCTTGTTACTGAATTTAATTTTTATTCTACAATCTAAGTGTTATATTCCGTTTGATTTTTGTCTTTCAGAACGCTTGATGCTTGAAAATCTGTACTATTTGAAGTGGGCTAATACACTTCTATGCAAGTGGATATAGTTTATGCATTTAGAATTTGAAATAAGTACATGTCACAAACGGTTTTTTGACTGGTTGAAGAAAGACTCATGCTATATCATGGTTTCAACTATTAGATGCTTAGTGATTTAGTTTGAAAATTATAAAATATCTAACAGGTAATAAAACAAGACGCTGTTTCAATCAAGCATGAAAGATAGTGAGTTAGAAATGAATATACGATTTTTAGATGGTGGAAAATATTTGTAACTCAGGTGGGATTTTGTTCTCTGAGCTTAATGGCTTAGTCGTTGAGTTTACATTGTTCTTCGGAACAACATCATCAGCACAAATTTCAAGTAGAAGTAAAGAATTCGAATTTCTCTAGATATGACTTACAGCTTGTCCTATCGACCTCGATCTTGATTGGTTATTGTTGACTTTTAACTTTTCATTGTTTACTTCTCTCATTGATTTGATTCTTGGTTCAACTGGAAAAGTGTTGAGATCTTGGATAGGGGCAATACTAAAAGCACCGGTAAGTTTTTCGAAGCATGGCACTTAGGACATTCAGCAATCAGCAAACAATAAAATGACCCAATCTATCAACCAATCAGAAAAATCATGGATAAATATAGGCACGAGAATCAAATCAATGGGAAACACAATCAAAATGAAGAAGTAGACGATGAAAAATATAAAGGTCAACAATAACCAATCAAGATCGAGGTCGATAGGACAAGCTGTAAGTCATATCTAGAGAAATTCGAATTCTTTACTTCTACTTGAAATTTGTGCTGATGATGTTGTTCCGAAGAACAATGTAAACTCCACGACTAAGCCATTAAGCTCAGAGAACAAAACTCCACCAAAGTACGATTCTCAGTTGCTATAGTAATGTAGAGTTCCTTTTTTGAACCAAACGTGATACAAATTAAAACCTCTCTTTTGTAACTAGACCTACGTCTTTAACTTAGTACCAAACAGATAATTTTTGCTGTAAACCTCCAATGTTGTATCAGCATAATCGATATATGAGACACCAATTTTAGATTTTTTATAAGATTACTTGACATTTAGTTAATTATTTGGAACATGGAAATCAACTACTTAAGTCGATAAGCAGCCCGTCTTGTAGAGGACGAACACAACCTTATCTACAATACTGCAAGTATTTTTATCCCCTTTATTTGAGTTATACATCATACAGTTTAATACGTAGTTCATGTGATGCTGAAAATTACTTAAAATAACTCAGATCTATATTGATTCTTACTGGCTAATTACTTCACACGGTGATACATCCTTGCTTGTCAATCATTAAATTGAACTATATAGGATACCGATCGATTTAGTTTTTGATAATATTTACTTTCAATTTATTTGTATTTGTAGCGAAAAGTTCGGAAGACGAAGTTGTTAAAAAATATTACGAATGTATGTTACTTTATAATATTTTACGTAATATCAAATAATATGAAGCTAGTAACTAATTTTAATCTGTTTACTATTTCAATATATCTGAAATCACTCTTTGGATGGTAATGTTGTCCATTTTCGTTGACAAAACAAATAGACATTTTATACATTTTCTAAACAGATTTCAAATCAATTAAAAATATTCACAAACATTATTGAACATATTTACAGAATGCATCCTTTTACAATTGTTTATTATTATGTCATTATCAAAAAATGTTTTGATGGTGTAATGTCGGATTGTATTGTTTAAACAGTAGGAAGGATTTGTATAGTCGCCTGCACAACAATTGGTGTATCAGATTTCCTAACAAATTGGATTATGAAATAATACTGATATTTGTTTCTGATTACTAAGATGAAATCATTCGAATGATCTCACTATGTGACTAGCGTAAATGCATAAAAATCTGTTTTCATCTAGAAAGGTTTTGTCTGTAACTTGAATCAGTTGAGTTTGTCATTTAATGCTCATCAGCTACTCACTTTTAAGTAGGTGTGATAAATATATATGTAAACTAAAAGAAGTTCAAATGTAAACGGCTAGTTAATATGATCTTACCGGTTAACAGCAATGTGTTTTGTTTGCTGTACTTCAAATAGCATGCTTTCAGTCACATGTTTGAACAAGCGTATCTAAGCTACACCTTTGTGTTCATTGAAACTCAAGTCGATTTGGTACTTCAATCTAACAGTTGTTTAATTATCTGAAGCAATGATTTGCTTTTCAAATTCATGAATGAAAAGATTTATTTTTTAGTTAAGCAATAAGAAGTAATGTAATAGTTAATTTTATATATTTCCAATTGATCGTACTAAACATGTTTTGAAATTGTATGTATACAGTTCATTCATATACTCAAGTGATAAAGTAACTCCACTATCTTGTTTTTGAGGATAGATGAATATGCCAAGGCGTCTGATTATGAAAAAATGCACAATTACAAAATTTATGGTAACTAATGTTAGCTTTTTGAAATTCCATGATTGGTATTCCAACGACTTGGAAGTTGCACAACTTATAATAAACTAAAGTGTTTTTATTATACTATTTACAACTGAATCATGTTGATGATCACAGTAAGAATTTCTATATGCTTCACTTCCTTAGATGAGGGAGGTCGAAAGAAACGAGTTACAGCTCAGTCCTGTGATTTAAAAAAAATAAGTGGCATTCAGCGGTTTTATGAAGTCACTAGTTCCCAATTTGATTGTTCATCAAAATAACTAAACATATATGGTTGGGAATTTATGCGTAAATACATTGTTATAAGAATACAGATCATATGCTAGGTCACAATGATATTTGACTTACTGGTAAATTATAAGTAAAAATACAATCTTCTGCATAATTTCCAAATGTTTAACTAAATAATTAAGTGTAGTCAAATCGTGTCTGTCAGAAACCATATTTGGTAATGAACAGATGTGGATGGTGGCCAGCAATGTAATACGGTACTCGTGTTTCATACTGTTTGGGACTAGTCATCTGAATTTGTCTGCATCCACGAGTTGATGTTCATTCCGGGACTCGAATTAAATTTCACTCCATGGCATGAGCTGACGGCTATCTGACCTCAGTATTTAAGTGGGTAACGCGATGGCGTTTGAAATGAACGGTAGTGGTAGCGATCGTTTGCAATCCTAAATATCAGTGGGAAGATTCAAACAACCAGTACATAGTTGGTAATGTTTACAATGAAAACTATCAACTGATTGTTATATCTTGTGACTGCAGATTAGAGAGCAGCGTATTATCGATCGGACCAAAGACGCATAATCACGTGAAAACAACCTAGAGTCATGATTGGTCCTGCTTCCCCGTCTAGCCCAGCCAGTTGAGTCCAGAACGCAAGTCTCGGCCTCTGAGATATGAATCATTATATTTGAAGCATACTGAGTTTATATACCAAACAAACCGACCACAACGTACCAATAAAATATGAAACAACATTTGTACAGGAATTAGCCAGATGTGGCTGTGAATGAGGGAGGTAGCAATTAACAGACAGGGAACAATTCATGAATAGTAAGTCGTATAATAATAGTTCATAGGTCAAAATAAAGCTCATAATGAGAGGGGCATGAATATGAACCGTTTAGTTACATAACAATTATACGATAAAAATATACTCATAATATTGGTCCGTAAATGAATCCCCAAAATTACCATTCATTATTCTTATCGGGATAAAACACTGACTAATAATTACGCTGTTGTATAATTTAATGTAAACTGAATTTAACATCAAATGTGTTTTTGCATCATTAATTGGAAATTTTTTTTATGATTGTCAATTCACCTGAGTTTGTTTTAAATAGATAACTATTTAGGTACTAAGTGTCGATGTATAACTCAAATGTAATGACAATATTCTATGTTTTCGTCCATGTAATGTCAAATATTATCTTTTGACTTTCAATACCTAAAAAACAATTTTAATCACATAGAATGAGAAAAATAACTCGAAGTTTATTTTGCACATTATTTGCAGTATATGAAGTGTTCAAAGACTCTATTGTCGAAAAATGGGAGGCTAGAAAACGTCTTGATGAAGACGAGGGTAATATAATTATTTTTTTTATAGTTTTGGTTAATATCACATTGTTAGACAACTGAAGTCAGTAACGTTATAAAAGACATAATTCCTAAACAAAAGATGTTCCTAAGTTTAGGCGTTCGTCTACCAGTATCCTCAATATGAATCACAAATTCACAAAATAAACTATACATTAAAAGAATCTTCATTGTTGTTAAGCTGATGTAGTAAAAATTTCATTTCCTGATTGTTTGATTTTATAGATTTCATTATTAAGAGTTATTACTTGTATTGTTCAGACTTTCATTAGTATTACAACTCCGACTCAGTTTGCAATCACATCACAGCACCAAAACTAAATGTTTACAAAAAAAGATTATTTAATGATTTATACGAATATTCGTCAAGATAAAAATGAATAGTTTGACAAAAATTGGGTGTCGAGTATAGAGAAGTCGTTATATGTGAAAATTATATTTGAAGTGTTCTCAGCGATTGAAATTTAACTAGTTCCAACGTTTCGTCTAGCTAACTTGTCTGGACTTCTTCAGGGTAATAATCAAAATCATCATAGAAATATGTAGCTTTTTAATAATCAAAACTGTACTGTGTTAAACCAATCATATTTAGATGTTGAGTTTTGTAAAATAGGATAAAATGAGTCAGTTAAGTGTAAATCACGTGAAAAATTCAACTACATGGAAGTAATTAACTGAATAATAAATTGTATGTGTGTGAGTGTGCAGGTATGTATGTATGTGTACGATTAATTATTGATATTCGGTGTTCATATGTTATATATGAAGGAATAAATAAATAAAAGTCCAAGTTCAAGGTTGAAAATTTGTTAATGAATCATCGATGTGCATGTCAAATCCAAGAACCAATAGATACATAATTGTATTGCTAAAAACTTATTGAATTCAGTCAAAATAACGATGCATGAGAAATAAACAGGTTGAATAATGCGAGGGTTCAAATTACTTGTCAACGAAAATTTGCTAGGTAGTCGCTGGTTGAATACCATTCTTTCGGTTCAAGCTGTTCTTGTTCGCCCATATATACAGCGCTTCTGCTGTCAATCTTTCTTTATGGGTGTTAAAACCTTTCTGAAGTTTTGTGGTCCCTTCAAGATTAATCTTGTGTCCTGTTTCTAATGCATGTAACGCTATCGTAGACTTATTCTCAAGTTTCTTCAAGTCGACCGAGGATTTGGGAACATTTTTCAAACATTGTTTGTGTTCCTTCAACCTTACATTCAATTGTCTGGATGTTTATCCCATATAAGCTGTATTACAATCATGACAGTTGATCTCATACACAATATTTTGTTACTCTTCCTTTGGTAACCTGTCCTTAACTTTCACTAATGTCGATCTTAAAGTATCACTTGCCCTAAAATACACTCTTATATCATGTTTGTTTAGAATCCTCTTGATTTCTTCCGATGTTTCACTACGGTATGGGATGACTACGGTGTACTTCCAAACTTTTCGTATACATTCTAGTTTAATGTTTCTCTCATTTTTAACAATCCTCTTTAAAATCTCTTTTGGGTAGTTGTGATATGATTGGTTTAACACAGTACAGTTTTGATTGTTAAAAAGCTATATATTTCTATGATGATTTTGATTATTACCCTGAAGAAGTCCAGACAAGTTAGCTAGACGAAACGTTGGAATTATTTAAATTTCAATCACTGAGATTATTTCAAATATAATTTCCACATATAACGACTTATTTAATGATTTGATTAATATTTCACGAGTAGATAAATATACTGTAAATATGTTCCCCTTCCAATAATAGACTATTTAAGTGGAGTTTTTTTCAGTTAGATAATTTCAAAATCTTTTGAAACATTACGTTACTCACATTCTAAGATTAAAATAAGAAAAATAAAAAACAATGAGATTATGTAGAAAAATAAAAACAAAATTATAGACAATTAAATTTCTTGATGAAGCATGTTTAATGTTGGTAATCGGATTTCACTAATCGATTGCTCTTTTTTTGTTGTTGTTTGAAATCCAGAAGCCTATTTTCAAAGTTTAGAAACAGGATTACATAATGATACTGGTTGGTAATGAGTATGATTTCGATGTTAATTTTCTAAAATGTTCTAACAAAAAATCATTACAATTGAAAGTAATTAAAATTTCATAACTAAATTGTATTTTCTTAGTAAAAGTAAGATTAGAGTTCTTAACTGTATTATTAAAAGAGCGAAAATTTTATTGGTATTTTTGAATATACATAGATATTTTTCAGAAACTAAAACCACTCTTGTATGGAATTACTAGATCACTATGTGATATCCTTTATAAATTTCAAAATATACACTGACTCATGAATATGGAGATTATGAGGGTTCCGATCAGTAGTTTTTATCTCTCAATTGACCTTTTCGATTTTTTAAAGTAAATAAATAAGATCTTTTAAAGATACGTATCGTATTAAAAGACTGATATTTGAAGGTTCAAATATTTGTCTTTTAAATAAATAAGGTTTTAGAAATTGATCAAAGAAGCACAGCTAAAATATCATCTAATCAGTTAACACAAGTTTTATAATGCTGTAGTAATATACGTGGAAATTAATAGAAAACATCCTTGATTATATGTGAAAATTATGTTTGAAATAATCTCAGTGATTGAAATTTAAATAATTGCAACGTTTTGTCCAGCAAACTTGTCAAAGAAATACATATTGTTTAACAATCAAATCAAATCTTTACTGTACTTATCCAATCATATTCAAATGGTGACTTTAGTAAGTAGGATAAGATGTGTCAGTTATATGCGAATCAATGTGAAAAATTCAGCATGTGAAGACAAAGAAATAAATGATTTTGTGTGTGTGTGTGTGTGTATTTGTGCATGTGTAGGTTTGAGTACCCTATACTTGGCACCCAATTTCTGTCAGACTATTCATTCTATTCGTCAATTAAAGTTTTGATAAATCCAAAGTGCCATCAAGTTGCTTCTTTAATTAATTTGTCATTGTTTTACTGAATTTAAGCTGATTAAGTTGAATATGAAGTGGTAAAATGTCCCATGTATGAAATCGACCCAAAGATTGAGTGATATTTACGGAAAAATGTTATTTAATTGTAATTAATAATATATTTATAGAATATGACGAGTTAGAAAAGAACATAACTAAAATTGAAAGTGAAATTCCTTGTTTATATGGTAAGTTAATTAGTAGAAAATTTATTTTAAAATATTTTGTGCTGTCTAAAAGGTTTTTTATAATAGGAGTCTGTTAATATGATGTTATACTTGAATAAACATAGATGACAAAGTTGTCTTATCAGTATAGCGTTGTGGATATGTCTGAGTTTTTTAATTGAGGTCATGAAATGATCAATGTTAGACAAGCATTGAAAACCTGGAAGTACTGAATGGCCGTTTCAACCCAGTATGAGACTCCTCAGTAGTGTGCATCTAAGACCCCATATGCGGGGTCCGAACCCAGGACCTTCGATCTCGCGCTCAAATGCTTAACCTGTAGACCAGTGAACCGGCATCCAATGGTGTTAATGTCTAACTTCAATCAATCCACGATACTGCTCGACCATCTTATATTGTTTTCGTTGGTAACTGCCTCATACTTGACACGAATTATCTCTAGTCGTCACGGCTTCTCATTAGGATTCCGATAATTACCTCTCGAAGCTAGTTACTAGTGCGTACATGATAATTATCAGTATAGGGTTGTTGAGATTGTTGAGTTTTTTAAATTGACATAGTGAACCGATCCAGTGCTTCCAGGTTTTCAATGGTGTTTTGACATTGATCGGTTCATGATCTCAATCAAAAGGTTGTCTTAATTATTTTATTTTTATGTTAACGCAGTTGAATGCTCCTACATTGAATTTTGCTGCACTTTAAAATCACTGTTACTCTTAAATAATAGACTTACAATTTTGACAAAATAGCAATGAGTTTATTTAACACAAGTAATTTATGGAGCCAATCAGATTATTAGAGATTTGATTAGAATCAGTGTTTGAGAATACAATGGTTAATCGACTACATATAATTCATGCAAAACCCATAGGTCATATACAGTCAAAATTCAGAATTTAATTATAATCAAATCGATTGTAGCTTTGGTTACTATGTTAAGCCCATATATCTTATTCTAGCTTCTGGACTGGCCAACTTATTCATTTAGCTTGAGTCACGTTTTGAATTTGTTAATTATTCACTTATCAACCCTGACTGTTTTTATATGAGCGCATAAGTGTGTGCACATTTATTATCCTATTCATCACATGTCTGTCACTTATTTTTGTCTGACTGATTAACGCCTGGCTAAATGGAGTTGGTTCTCACACCTTCTCCACTGTGTATTATTTCTCTTCGCTCTCTTCTCTTCGCTTGTCTGTCCCGTTGTTCGGTGCTTCTTGAGTTTCAGTTTCATCTTGGCGACCAGTAAGTGATGATCTGATGCTAAATCAGTCCATGTAGTTTTGTGAACGCGTTTATGTGAGAATATAGTGCCGCCTATGACCAGTTTATTGAGGGCATAGGGGTTTGTAAATCTCTCACCATTTTAATTCTTTTCTCCCAGTCCGTGTCGCTTCATGATTTCTTCATATCCGGTGTTGTCCATTCCCACCTAGGCATTTAGGTCTACCTTCAGAATGACCAAGTCCTTTGTTGGGCACTTTTCGATGATTAACTGAAGCCTATCGTAGAATTGATGTTTAACATCCTCACTGTAGTCGTTGGTAGGCGCATAGCATGGGATGATGTTCATTGAAATTCCCTCTTTCTTTGTTTTGAAGGAGGCCTTGATGAACCTTGGTTCATGAAATTCCCATCGTATAAGTGCATTTTGTGCTTGTTTGGACAGCATCAATGCAACTCCTAGTGTATGTGGGTCATTTTCTTCTTCATGGCCGGAGTATAACAGAAACTCACCTTGAGCTATTCGTTGTTGTTCAACATGTGTCCAATGTGTTTCACTGATCCCGAGCACCTCCAGGTTGTATCTCCTCATTTCTGCAGCAATTTGAAAGATTCTCCCAGACTCACACATTGTACGAGCATTCCGTTTACCTAAATAAATGGTTGCTCTGGTTATTAGAAGGGACATCGGTCTCACGACTTCCGAAGGAACTTGGCTTTCACTATGAGGCGTCATAACTCTTCTAAATGAAGACCTTCTGACTCCCAGGGCAGGGTTTAAATGGGTTGAATAATTGTTCCTGATTAGCGTTTTTTAGCGAGTTATTTTTCTACGGGATGGGGTCGCTGACGCCATGGTTAACCCTCCTCCTCTATTCGGGCTTAGGGCTGGCGGTAATCCCTGGAGGGGCTCCAGGCGGAGTTATTTTTTTGACTACAATGTGAAAACAATTCGAAAATTTTTTAATAACAAATTGGAATTTATTTATAATTAATTATTATACAAGAGTGAAACTGAACTCTTTTAAATGAATTTCATTTTCTTAGAGAAACTAAAATCACTTTCTGAATCGTTAGCTGAAATTACAAACGAATACATTAGAAATTCAGGTAAGAAACTGATATGTAGTAAATACGAATCAAAGATAGTAGTTACAAAGTGCTTACAATCACGATCCTTCTGTAATATATAGTCAAACGATTAGTTAAATTTATTGAGATAGGTATAACTTTTCTCCCGGTGTCTTTTTAATGTTAGATAACGATTACGATAAACACTTCAGTAATCACTTTTATCCGTATTTCGAGAAGCATATGATTTTGGTAGTTATTACGAAACATTTGAATACTGTCCTTAAAGTCATCTACACGTAGTACATGAATGGAGTGAGAGTGTTTGAACGTTTCACTATATTTTGTTTTTGATGATGAGCAAATTATATGCTACTTAATTGTTAATGCATAGTTGACATATTATTTATTCACTAATTCTACATAATATTTTATTACTGGCACAGCGTATTAATTTCATTCTTTTATTGTTCTGTGCAAATTAAGCAGTTTGCGTAGTTTTTATTTCTGAATTAAAAAATTCCATTTGTATTTCAGCTGATCCTTTGAGAAACAATGAACTACATCAGAAGTTCCGTAATTCTTCTATGGTTTATGCTGAAATTACATGTAATTAATTTGAAGTAACCTTATTCATTTGTTCACCTTTAATTTGCAATTGACTGGTTGAGTGAGTAGTAGTACCGTGTTTATTTAAACATTTAAGTGTTAGTCTAGTTTAAAAGATTAGTTTTTGATGTACACGTTAATCCGAGTGACAGGCGATCGTGTCCACTTGGTCGATAGGATTCTATCAGCAGTGAAAAGGACTAGGCAAATATGAGATTGGCTAATACTCAATGATCAATTCATTAAAAGTATTTCAGTTTAATAGAAGGTCAGTAACAGTCCAAAGAGATTAGTGGTAATTTTTCAGACTGTACAGATAATTGATGTGTGTTTGAATCTGTCAAGGAGCACATATTAATTCAAAATTTCATGTACATTTTGATGATGAGTGCCAAACAACGCGAACCAAGGTCTAGGGGTTTACTATAGACCATTTCCTATCAACTAACATTTTGCTCACATTTGGTAAATCTGTATCGGAATTGGAAATAACTCTAATAAACTAACTACAAAACATGATCCATTGAGGACGCTGTAAAATGATGGATAAACCATATTTGTACTTATTGACAGTTATAAACATTTATGAAATACTGATCAATGATAATTATTTTTCCAGAATGAACGGTGTAACAATAACGTAGCGTTATTAGATTTCGGAATGAGCAAAATATTGGATCAATAACTTTTATTCACGTTTATCAAGAAAGAACTATTCAAAAAGTCATAACTGGACTGTTAATAAGATATTCTAGCTGTTTGCTATCATTTTATGAAAACTTAAATAATTCGATGTTAATCAATTATGTCTACATATGTCAGTCTCTTTATTTATATGAATGCTTAACGAATTTCACATGTCACTTTATGACTAACTAAAAGGACTCATCAAGTATGTATATTACGTTTACAGTGTTTTGTTATTATAATGTTTGATTATTATTTTTTTAGATGCAACTGCTGAAAAAATTCGTGAGATTGAGACTCTAAGGTTTCGTTTGCTCAAATGTAAGTTGCATATTCTAATTAATTTCATATTTATTTTAGTTTTGCCATCACATAAAAGAACTCAAACCGTTTTGGATGCGATGAAGAGATTTGCTATTTTATAAATATGTAAGTCTATGTACACTGTAAGTTAAACTACAGTATGCAAGTTCTGGCACACTTGTACTAATCGTTTTTGCTTAGTAGTATTTGCGGAAATACTGTATGAGTATAACGATAGAAATAAAACACAAACCTTTACAAAAACTGTTTCTTTGCATTTTGAAGATGGCTAGAACGTCACTCGAAGCTTCATAGGAATAGGATAATGAATCACGTTCGATCAACTATATTTACCCAGTTTCTCGATATAAATAGAGAGTTACATTGTGCAGTGTGTAGTTGTATTCACGATAACAATAAAACATAGTTTCTAACTGGTGATATGGTTCGATTTAACTAGAGAAAGTTATTAATAAAAGTTAGATAGTATATGTTCACAATAAGGTTTTAATATTATCCAAATCAACCTCATGTTCCAAAGAACTTTATGAACAATATCTATGGTATGTTTGATCTTTTCATGAAATATAAAGGATACAGAAATTATTTTATGGCAAATTCACTGGTTTAAGCCAACCTTATTTAAATTGCATTCTCAAATATATCCTCATGGACACATGCATCCGTTTATGTAAAATAAATGATATTTATTTTTGTTTTTATGTTTCAGATGGAAAATGTTTCTTTTAAGAAATAAATTCACAGTTGGATTAGTGATTGTTTTGGTTGAATTCAAAGACTTGTCGATTGTTCTAGTAATCTGAATTGATAATCCTTTATTACTGCATGTTAAGTTAACGTTTACATAAATAAATAGTGAATTCTTTTTTTCCTGACAAAAAGTACTGCGATATTCAAAAATTCACTATATCCACTTAGTAAATTTTTATACTTCTGTTTGTGTAAAATTGATGTTTAATACTCTTACAAAATCAAGTATATGTTTGGTGTTTCACAATCTCTTGAATAGTGAATTGTTTATTTTCTGAAGTTTTAATTACAATTGCGTTTCATTTAACCTTTATCTTCTTATAAATATGTTTGTTAATTGTGAATGATCGTCTGAATAATTGAGAAAGTGAATTACTTAATTAAATATACTATTTAATGGAACGCTTTTATACAAAATATAAAAATAACAGTCATTCCGTTTCATACAAAAAGAAGAGTATGAAGAGTTAATTTATTGATTCATGTGAGCAATCAATTTGTTGCAATTCATGTTAGGCCTATCTAGTTTTTAATGGTTGCTAAATTCTATCGATGTAGTTGTAGTGTGTGATCACTTGTCCTAGTGATTCGGTATTGCACCCACTCTGTTTTGGTGTTAGATAGTAGAAGGGAATTGGTAGAAATTTGTAAACTTAAATTTTATACTATTTGGTGCTCATCATCAAAGCACATAAATCATGCTTATGAAAGTATGTACATAAAATGGTGGTTCATATGACGTGGTGATACTCTTATTAGAAATATCTTTCAATTATAATACGTCAATCCGCAGTGTAGCGCTGTCAGGGTAATAATAAAAGCTTTAATAGTATGCGCTAATTGAAATTTTTACCAGTGTAATGATACGGTTATCATCGTTAGGTGGTAAGAAATCACATATCTAGGTTTCGTGTTATTTGGCACTCACCATTAAAATGTACATGTCTTACTAAGTCATTGTTTAATTTTCCGTTTAGTAATAAATTAGTTTTCTCTAACAAATCTTCGTTCACTTCATTCCTGTTACACTGAGATATTTTCACATAACATCACCAAGATGTAAGGTGTTGGTTAGAGGTGGTCAACAAGAAACTATGAAATTAGTTTGTGAGCAGTTTGGCGCTCCTAAGCAATGTGTATTTATAATCTTGAGGGAACTGATACTCCCTAGCGAATTTGATTGATGTTATATTTATCTAGTTCAACATGTTGACATAACAACTGAAGTACAAATGGCAGTAAGCATTCAATAATTTGTACACCTAGTGAAGGAAACCGAGTGATATTGATTATGTTTCACATATCTTGGGAAACTAAACTCCATGTATTCAATATTTCACAACAAAAGTGCTAATAGTCACACAGTTCTAGCAAAAAAGTTATAATAAGGTAATCGTTCACTAGAGTTTGCGATAAACTCTAACTCATAAGACACAGTCTTCTTTCGTATGCTTGTCTAAATATCATCAATACCAATAATCACACTATTCATGTAATGTAGGTGAGTGTTTCACAGAAAATAATCAAGGTTTTTCAAGAGTCGATCCTAGGTGAGACTTTAATCACAATCATGTGTTGTGGTTCAGTCAATATTTTCTGACATTCTAATTACACGTAAACCCATCGATCTTTGTTCAGGATGGTTGTAAACAGCCATTTTAAACCTGAGATTTCACTTGTACCTCGGTCTGTTTGTCTATTTCTGATTCATATTATTGATGTTTTCTTCGAGTATAACATAATTGTCGATCAGCGTTCAATTATTCACGGGATTTCTGATTGGTCCACTATATCAATCACACTATAGAAAATCATGGTTGCTATAAATTTTTCTGTTTGCAATCATTGGTCCACTGATCTTATTTTCAATAACTGATAAACATGAAAGTGAATTGTGTTCTGTACAATACGGTGCCCGAAATTATTTTGTCGAATTCTCAAGATCCAAAATAAAAATTAATTCACTTTGATATAGGAAGAATATATGAAACCGATTTCAATAATCTTAGTGGATACAAATGAAACGAATCAATTTACAATGAATGGTCATAATGACGTTGTAACAGAGACCTAGAGGTAATATTTATGTGGTCGATGATTTGTGATAACTAATCAGAGTCTAGGTAAATGAAGTTACGCTTACCGGCGATTTCTCCGACCACAAAAGGTAGATTCCTTTATACAAATAATAACACAGGTTGCAAATTTTAGGCATAAACTAACGAGCTTAAAATTGTAATTATACCAAAAGGAAAGTTAATGTGTATTTAAAATTTTTATTATGGAAAATTCTTAAAAAGCGAAAGAATCTATTTTTTTCATATTATCACAAAAGTTGGAAAGTGACAGTCCATTGCATTTGAATTTGCTTAGCCCATATGAAACTTTGTCGGTCGAATTCTCGCAGATACTTTTTAGTGGGGCCCTTTATTTTCTCGTCATTTGGATCGGGCTCACCACTTTAGTGGCCTGGGCTCTGACTCCAAGGAGATCGTATGAATGATTGCTGTCGAAAAGTTTATGTCGCCTATCCTCGTACATAATCATCGACTTAAATCGCGTTAGTCAATAAGGAAATTAAATAAGTCAAATACGAGAATGAATTTCGAATACGTATATTTCATACAATCTTTGATCCAGACAAAATATCGGAGAAGCGAAGAGAAGAGAGCGAAGCGAAATAACACACAGTGGAGAAGGCTTGTGCACCAACTCCATTTAACAAACCGTTAATCAATATTTATAGTCAGACAAAAATAAGTGACAGACATGTGATGAATAGGATGAGAAATGTGCACACACACATACGCTCATCTAAATACGACATGAAGGTGAAAAGTGCGCTTTGGTGCAAAAACAAGGAAATTTAATTTTCCAAAATAAAACTATATAATTAAGGTATTTACCAAGTGAGTTCTGGGGATCTAACATCCCCAACAAATCTCAACATATGTTGGATAGATTTCGTATTTATTTCCTTTCCATACTACCATAAATAGACGTGTTACCGATTCGATTCATTCATTAGAAAAAATTAGAAAATATTTAGCGTGTCGTCTTTCAAGAAAATGGAGTTTAGAAAGTAAACATTTTGATAATGTGAAACGTGAGAATCTTAGAAACAGAAATAAATAGTCCTTAGGTCACAATACTGCTAAGTAATGTGAACGATGAATATGTTTAAATGATTAATCGTCGGTGGTACTTCAAAAGCAATCAAAATTGTTACAAAACTCATATTGAACTTTACAGAACAGTAAGCTACATAGAACTATCCAAACAATACTGAATGAAGACTGCTTATGAGTTTTTAAACGGCGTGTAAAATGTATATTTCATTTCAGTTTGAGTCATGTAAAAAATGTCTTTTTTTAACAAGGTTACATTCCGTGACTGGACTTTATGTTGTGAAATGGATGACGATAACAAACAGTCTAGTGTGAAACGACGTCATCAGGGCTATAATCGTTGATTGCAATTTACTAGTCTACTGGTGAAATCCAAGCTATTTGCGTGAACTGAATGTCTATAATTATGTTAATGATGATGCTCTCTCTGGAAAAAAAATTAGACCACTTGTATTCCGATGATTAGAAAATTAAAAGTTTAACTCAGAGATGATTGATATGAAGTAAACCAGAAACTAAATATCATTAAACCAACTTTTGCACAGCTAGATTCGTTGTACACATAATGTGAATACATGCCATAATTCAAACAAACACAATAATGAGAACTTCAATATAAATAAGAATATGTTAGCTAAACTTAACAAAACAAAATGTAGCTTGCTTTGTGAATTGAAACAACTGCCTCTGATTATTCAGTAGTTAATTAAATCAATTTGACTTGACACCTATCTCAAAGCTAATCACCAATGATAGTTCGATTATGATTTAATCTTGCGTTTGTAGAGATGATGGTGAAAAACTAGTCTCAGCACTTTTTAGTGATATTTATTGGTGGTCGTGATTTTTCAACAGTTAACTAATGTGAGAACATTCCAACCAATAGATTATAGCTGAGTAGCTTAAAGAGATTATGTGCAATGGGAGACCTAATTATACTATTTTGCTTCCTGTTCATCGTTGTTTATTTAAAAAACTGATAAGTTTCTGATTAGCAGCTGACGATGAAAATTCTTGTTCAAATGAAAAATATAAAGACATAAACAGTTCATCTACACTTACCTGATATACAATATCTACTAAACTGAAGTAGACACAGAAGCTTTGTCTATTTTTTCTGAAAATAATCATTTAAGTTTTAACAAAATTTCATGTGAATGACATTGAAATGTGAGATTATATGTGTAAATCTATCAGGGTATCTTTTTATAGATGTTTTTGTG